ATCCATGTACACTGCTTTTTTCTCATAAATTACAAAAATTTCACGAAAATACATGACAATTTTCTCAATCTTTAAACCCGGTAAAAAGAACATATATGAAATTACATGATCGCGAAAAAGTATTTACCCTTTACAAATATCAACATTTCCACATATAAAATAAATAGAATATCCAAAAAACTTTTACCTCTAAATCATCTATTACATTATACACGTCACCAACGAATTCATACCTCAAGCATTACAAATACTTAATATCAAATATTTAAATTATTTCCATGCACGTTTATTTCAACTTAAACGTATACCAAATTCCTACAAACATAAAATTCACAAAATAACTATCATTTCATTAAAATATAATTAAATTCAAAAACACTACTTAAAATATAAATGAGCACATACATTAAATTAATAAAAATTACCTTACAATCCTAATTACTTTAAACTAAATCATTGCTAATAACAATTTTCCCAATAATACCAAATTCCTTTCCACCTTACATTTACAACAATGCATAAAAATAATATCCTCAAATAATTAAAAATACTAACTTACCTAATCTTCTTCAGAATCTTGATTACGTGGCGGATACACTTTTCTTCCTTCTGTTTCAGAATCTTTAAAATCATACTTATCTTTCAAAGCAAGATACCAGGTAAAATAAATAACATAATAAAACATCTTTATTTCTCTCTCGCACAACCTTAAAAAACATTTATTACTATCCTTTTCAATACCACTAAATACCCATTTCGAATTCACTTTAGTTACGGCCATGGGATCCAAAAATTCACAAACACTATTTCACACAACACAGAATAAAGCCAAATACAAAATTGCCAGATTTTTTCCCGATTAAAGAACAGTAATTCGTCCATTAATATCACATGACATATCCCATGATCTCTCATTTCCCTCACACAAAATAATGCGTAATCAGAACTGAATACTACTCACATTCTTAACAAAGTCTAACTAACCTAATCTTCTTCCGAATCTTCCTTACATGGTGGATACACTTTTATTATGGATTCAATAAAATTACTGAACGATTTTTTTTCCGAATTTGATAGAAAAAAAAAATTTCTCTTTATCACATCTACAATTCACTTTAGACAGCGCCATACAATCCCAAAATTATTCAACCCTACTTCACACAACACACAATGAAGCTTAATACAAAATAATATACATCCACAGATACTTGTCCAAATTCCCCCCTTTTCCGATTAAAGAACCGTAATTCGTCCATTAATATCACATGACATATCCCATGATCTCTCATTTCCCCCACACAAAATAATGCGTAATCGGAACTGAGTACTGCTCACATTATTACCAAAGTCCCAGGTAGTAACCTTTATCGCCTCCAAAATGTCGCCAAACTACCAGTTACCATATTGTAAAGATCAACCCAAAAATGGTAGGGATAATTTTTCTTTAGGATTTTAGACATTGCAGCTTGGAAAGTTCAGAAGGATTTGAAGGCAAGATTTATAGACCCACGATTCTAGAAGATTCGAGAAATGTGACAAAATGAAAAAATGTCTCCATGTTATCAACACGTAGTGGATGTATTTTAAAAAAGTTTACAATGAATTTCTTAATTTTGGGAGAACATCTGGAAGAACAATGAAAACATAATATTTGAATGCATTACTTCTGATACTAGAATCTTAACATGTTTATCTTCTCTTTATTTTCTCTACTTTTCACTAGACAGAAAGGATGGAAAATATCAAAAATGCTTCTGATCTTATCATATGGACAGGCATTATAGAAAGGGATTTTTTTATTAATACAGAAATTGAAAACTTAAATTTAAAAGATTAAAAAATTTGATTCAGAAGTCAAACAACAAAAATCAGCGTTAATTCACAAAATTTTCACAGGACAGGTTTCGATGGTTTTACCGAACCATCATCTTCAGCTGCAAAACCGCAAATGAACAAGATAGGAAATAATGTTTAGATAAGATAAGAAAGCCTGGACAAGAATAAGCAAGATTATAAAAATTCTGTTGTCATTCCCTTCTTTCCATCAATTAGCTATAAAGTTGCACATATTTTGCAGAAATTTAACTTTCGGGTTGTTTACTCCCATCAATAAAATTCCAACTTCTATACTCAAGGACCCCATTCCGGATATGAATTCCTGGGGTATTTATAGGATTCCTTGCCAGTGCGGTTTAATTTACATTGGCCAAACTAAGAGAGCCTTAAAATTTCGCGTCAAAGAACATGAGGCATATGTTAGAAAAAAGGAAACACAGAAGTCTTCTGTTGCTCAACATTGTTGGTCCGAAAATCACACTTTCAATTTTTCTGCTGCCAAAATTATTCAAAAAACATCTTCCATTGGAGAACTGGATTTTCTAGAGGCATTTCACATTCATAAAAATCTTTCTGTTCTAGTTAACGATCCTAATTCCAATCCAAATTTGCCTTCGGCTTTTAGAGAAATATGTTTTTAGTTCTGGTTTCACCACCAACAGATGGCGCCACTTGCTTATTCTTGTCCAGGCTTTCTTATCTTATCTAAACATTATTTCCTATCTTGTTCATTTGCGGTTTTGCAGCTGAAGATGATGGTTCGGTAAAACCATCGAAACTAGTTCTGTGAAAATTTTGTGAATTAACGCTGATTTTTGTTGTTTGACTTCTGAATCAGTATTTATTCGGCGTGTTATTGTGTCTTAATTATTAAAAAGTTTCTTAATGCATCATACACATAGCTGGCACTAGGCATTTTCCCACCTGATGCAGTCTAAGTTCCTAATCCTAAGTTCTGCTGCCTACTGCCATTCTAAATTCTGCTTCCAATGCTTGCTCTAAATTCTAAATTCGGTGTGTCACTAAATTCTAGAAATTCTGCCACATCAGCTTTGTAACTGTCCTTTACTATATATATTTCATACTGCTTCTGAATGTTCATATTATACTGGTGTCAAAACTTAAGCAACAGGTGTTATTTTTCGCATAACTCCTCGAGGAATCATCTGAGAGACATGAAATTCAGAATTAAGAGACAGCATTTTGTATTTAAACGATGACGAAAGCATAATTGCGCTAAAAATGAATACAATGCATGCAGTATGAAATCAAACAAAGTAGGCTTTATTGAACTCATAGTATCTTTATACATGATTGTCTGTACAAGAGGAAGAACAACAAGCAGATGTTCCTTACTATGAGATATGCCCTCCCCTTCCTGCAATGGTTGCTTCGAACGGTCTTTCTATACTCAGCATCAGATTGTCCAACAGATCTTGAGGTAAGAGTGCCCATTCCTCAATCAGCATCTGTTTCAAATGCTGGGTGTTCCCCAGAGGATGTAATCGTGCCACAAGGCATCTCCCCAAAGCATCCAACACATGCTCTATGGGATTTAAATCAGGGGAGCACGCTGGCCAATCCATTCGAGTGATATCTTCACTTTTTCAGTAGCTTCTGAATAGCAGGAGTCTGGTGTGGCCGTTCATTGTTATCCATAAACGCGAAGTCTGCTCCAATGACACCTTGGAACAGATGCACATGGGGAATGATCATCTCCTGACAATAGTGATTTCCGGTTACAGAACTTTTGTCGAAAACATGGAGCTCTGTCTGCCTGTTCAGCATAATGCCTCTCCAGACAAGATCTTCAGGACACCGTAACGGTCTCTTTCCGTGATGTTACTGAGATTAAACCGTATTCCGACATCTCTCCAAATCAAATTGTTTTGAGAATCGCTTGTGGCAATAAAACGACTCTCATCCGTAAGGAGGGTGCGACTCCGTTGATGAGATGCCCAGTTTTTGCGCTTCTTGCACCACTGTAAACGGTGACACCGATGGCCAACTTTCAAAGGGATGCAGCGTTCAGGACGGCAGGTGAATAAACCACCTTTGTGAAGGTGTTTGCACACAGTAAACCGAGACACTTGTCGCCCGTTGCTGTACACAGTTGTTGAACTATGGAGTTTGGTGACTGGTTTCCGGCTATTTTCGCCTGCAGGACAATATATCGGTCATCCACTGCAGTTGTTTTCCTTGGGCGGCCATCACCAACCCTTCTAACAGCCGTACCTATGGTTTGTAAGGCTTTCTAAGCGCGCAAAATGACACTTTTGTTGAACTCTTCAGCTATACTGGTCACAATTCGCCCCTACTCCAGATTTTTGATTATTCTTCCACGTGTGAAGTCATCCAGATCATTTCTTATAGCCATATTTCACGAAAGAACTTCTTGCACTTGCAGCGAATGTCTTTAATTGCTTCTCCATCCTTCCTTTTATGGTAGTCTCGAGTTGAGCGCGTCGACCGTACACTCACGTAGCCTGTGACGTTTTTTTCTTGACCTTCGCATACGCATGACCTTTCTAATGAATTGCATGTTCATTGTACTGAAGGTGTAACAAAAATATTATCAAAAATATCAGAACTACGCCGAGACTACCCGTCAACGGTTGTTCTGCGCAGGTTCTTAATAGATACGTATATAAACCTTAATAATAATTAGACACAGTGAGTCTACTATTAGAATATCTGTTTACAATTTCAATATTTATAGAAAAAGAAATAAATCTTATCTACTTGAATTCTGCACATGTTTCTTGACGAATAAACAACTTTGTTAACACTTGACATCAGTATTTTCACAGTTTCACAGTAAAGCAGGAACTAGGATATTATTCAATAAACAGAACACAAATACAATATAATATCTCAATTCAATTCATATCAACATTAAATTCATAGAACACTTCTATCACTAAGCAAACACGGATTAGAACGTGCATGGCAACGCCGAAAACTGATGCCATCCACAAAAAAAAAAAAGGATACATAAAACTCGCGTCATTAAAACATTAATACATTAAAAGTCTCGTGTTCATTCAATAAAGTTATTCATAAAACTGTCTCGTGGATATCTTCCGAAGTTTATTGACGGCATTACGTAACATCCTCCCACCTTGATTTGCCACCTTCGAGGTAAATCAACAAAGTTCGAAAGTTCAATAGCCCAGTCTCTTAGGTATCTTGATTACTCTGCCGCTTCTTGACGTCCGAGGAGCTGCTGAAACATCCTTCTGAATTGGAATGTCATTCTGTGATGTTGCTGGTGGGTCATTAGTAGTATGTTGATCTGGTATAATGGGATCCCCAGAAGAATTAACTTCTAGAGGGTAAATTTTTTGGACTGGACGAACGAGATGACCAAGTGGAGTTTTGACTTTGACGACTCTCACATGGCCGTCTCTCCCTGGATACAGTTCTTCAATCACTGCAAGTGGCCAATTAAGTCTCTTCTGGTTTTCAGAACCAACAAGGACCACTTCTCCAACTTTGAAAATTTTGTCAGATGTGCCAGCTTTTTGCACCAACTGACCTAAGTATTCTTTCCGGAATCGTCGCCTGAATTGTTCACGCAGTTCTTGGCAATAACGTTCTCTCTTTACCAGTTTGTTCCTATCCAAATGATCAAGATCAGCCGTTCCAATCTCTTTTACATCTTGGAGAAAGTTGGATGGTGTTAGAGGCCTCAACTCATCTGCATCGTTGGAGATGTATGTTAACGGGCGGTTGTTAACGGTGGCTTCTGCGTCGCAAAGAACTGTGAGGAGTTCCTCATACGTAACAGACGACTTACCAAGAACTCGAACAAGTAGATTTTTCACTATGCGAATTAGTCTCTCCCACCAACCGCCCCACCATGCTGCGGTTGGGGGAATGAATTTCCAGTTAATTGGATTTAGAGTTTCAAGAGCAGCTATCTTTTGCCACTCAATTTGGTTCAATGCACCAGAGACACCGATAAAGTTCGTGCCGTTGTCACTATAGATAACTGTCGGACGGCCTCGTCGAGCGATGAATCTTCTCAACGCGAGTGCACAGCAATCTGCACTTAAGGATGTCACGATCTCCAAATGTATTGCTCTGTAGACTGCGCATGTAAACAGCACCACCCAGGCTTTAGTCCTTTTCCTAAGAATAAGGGGACCACACAAGTCAATTCCGGTGACTTCGAAAGTTCGAGCGTCCCGTACTCTGTCTAAAGGTAAATGAATAGGTATGGTTGAAGGTGACTTTGTTGTGAATCTCTTGCAGGTAATGCATTTCTTGATTATTGATCTAATTGTTTGTCTAGCTGAAATAATCCAATATTCTTCTCTAATCATTGACATGAGCATTTGAACACCGGCATGAGAATTCTTTTTATGGTATTCGAGCACTAGACTTTGCACAATATGATGCTTTGACGGAAGTAGAATTGGATATTTAAATCCAAATTCATCATCTCTTGCGAGAATCTTTGTTTTCACTCTTATCAGTCCTATTTCATCTCTGACGACTGAAAGACCATTTATTACATCTCCAGTCTGAGAAAAACTTTCACGTTGAACTAGTAGACTCAAAGTGTTTTTTGAATCTTTTAACTCGGCTGCAGACAAGAAGAACCCATGCTAAAATTCTTACAATTGCTGAAAATTTAGAATATTTTTCATACCACTTAGATGTATCAGTACTCACACTAACGTTTAATACTACAGTTTTCTTTCTGATTTCGGAAGAAATTAATGCCTCATTGGGTTTAATTTCAAGGCGTGGCCAACTATCCTTCGGATTCTTTAACCAGTTAGGACCCTCCCACCATGAATTCTTTAGAATTTGATGAGGGGTACAACCACGAGATGGTATATCAGCTGGATTTAACTGGCTTGGCACGTAAGACCACTGATTTTCCTCTGAAAGTGCACAAATCTCTCTGACACGATTTCCTACAAAAGTTCCCCATTGATCATTGCGCTTGATCCATGACAGAGCTGTGGTGGAATCAGACCAGTAATGTTTTTCAATTTCGTCTAAGGATAATGCCTCTACAACATACTTCGCTAGACGTACTCCTAAAACACAAGCTAAAAGTTCAAGACGTGGTATTGTCATCTTTTTTAAAGGTGCAACACGAGATTTTGCGATCAGAAAATTTACACATGTGTCACCATTGTTTTCGCAGCGTAAGAAAATCACGGTCGCGTAAGCTCTCTGGCTCGAGTCACAAAAAACATGCAAAGTCCAAGTTTGTTTGTTTCCATATCCTGTTCTGCGGGATATTTTCAAATCTGATAAGATCTGTAATTCACAGTACCATTTCAAAAATTTTTGTTTGACCTCTTCTGACAGTGGAGAATCCCAATCTGCTTTAATAGACCAAACTTCTTGAATCAATAACTTAGCCGGTAATAATACAGGAGCTAAGAACCCTAGCGGATCGAAAATCCCCTGTGTTAATGGACAAAATCTCTCTTTTTGACAGGTTGTCTAGATTTCGCACAGGCTTAATATGAATAGAAAGGCTATCATCCGTTCTATCCCATAGAATACCCAAGACTGAAATCTGATTCTTAGAAAGAGATTCCGAATTATCATTCCTCGAAATTTTATTAACGTCGTTTATAGGACCGAATGTCCACATCCGTAGGTCCATCTTAGCTTCTGCCAAAATGTCAATTGATTTATCCATAAAATCCTTCAACTCTTCCTCTGTGTCAAGAGACGTGACACAATTATCGACATAAAAAGAATTTCGAAGCTTTTCTGCTACGTGATTTCGCTCCGCAGACACTCGAGACAAATGGAAAGAAATGACAGCACCTAAAAGATACGGGCTGGATCTAACACCAAAAACTACCCTTGTGTGACGATACACCTTTATGAGACCATCCTTTTTCCACCAAAGGAATCTTAAAAAATCTCTATCCTCTTTTTTAAGTTCAATTTGTAAGAATGCGCGTCTTATATCAGCCGTAACTCCTATGCGTTTCTCTCTGAATCTTAATAATAAGGCAGGTATTTCTTCGATCAAATTCGGTCCCTTTACCAAACAGTCATTAAGAGAAGGTGCTCGTTTAGATTTACATGATGCGTCAAATACCGGCCGTACCTTGGTGGTAAGACTATCCGGTTTAATAACAGGATGATGCGGCAGATAATGTCCTTTAGACTTAAGATCGCACACCGGAACTTCCTCTATCACGCCTTCAGCAAGCCATTCTCTAAAAACCTTATCGTACTCTTCAAATATATTCAAAGATTTAAGTCTTTGTGTTGTGCTGAGAAGCCTTTTTTCCGCAATATCGCGGTTGGATGGTAAATCTATGTTATGTTCTAACCAGGGTAGACCAACACAGTATCTCCCCTCTTCATTTTTACCTAAGGAGCCTAAAAACTGTTCCCAAGCAATATCTTCTTCCGCGTTCTTTGTAGAATTACTGCTGGAATCTGAAATTCCTATTGTCTCTAAGTTCCAAAGATCGGATACGTTTAGGTCCCGAAACGTCAGACTTACATTCAGAGTAGATATACCACTACTTTGTAGTTCGGAATGCTCCTTAAGTCGACCACAAACAGTCCATCCTAATGTAGTGTCAATTGCAGCCAAACCTCCGTCGGACTGTTTTACTTTCCCTGTAAGAAATGAACCGTAAATGTCACTGCCGATTAACATCTCTATCTTCGGGCAACCTGTTCCTATGTCTGAAAGCCATATCCTTTTACACTTAAGTTCTTTTAAAATAGGGCCCTTATGTACGCGTGCTATATTTCTACATATAGCTTCCTGATCCAAAAACACAAATTCCATTTCTTTTCTCATATAAGGATTGAGAGAGGGTAGCTTGATCCGATACTTTTTATGTACGTTCGGTTCAATTTTAACCCCTCCAAAAAGCGTGTGAGCTACAGTTTCCTCGGCAATGGGAATTAGTCCTAATTCCTGTACCGTAGACTTCAAAATGTATGATTTTTGTGATCCGCAGTCGAGAAGCGCTCGTACTTCTCTCGTGCCTGATTTTCCTAACACATTGACTTTAATGGTCGTGAGAGCTACTTCAGTGGAACACATCTGTCCCGCCGCGAAAAGGTGCTACACTTTACTGGATGCTGGATACTTTTGAAGATATGAACATTTTTAAATTCAGCGTTGGTCAACCAGCTCATCTGCATATGAAAAGTTTTCTTTCCTTTATATATTTTTACATATTATGTGTAAATAACTTCTGATTGTATATTTAGAAACCTTGTTACTTACTCTAACTATATATGAAAAAGAACGGCTCTAGCTCTTTGGTTTTAAAGAAATACGCGTTTTGAAAACTTTGAGTGGTGTTGGATTTTTAATGGATGCCGATTGTTGACAATTGAAAGCCTTGTATTTTGCACCTTCCGGTCAAGTCTTATTACGAAGTGGAAAAATCTTTTTGAAACTGTTTTTTTATGTTTTCTAGGGATAAATAATTGATAAACTGGTGCACCTGCGTTTGAAACTTTTCGACCCGTTGGTCGATTTTTCTATTTTTGTGTAGAACTCAATTTTAAGCATGTTTGAAGGTTTTTTGGCCTGTTTCAAAAGTATTTTAGGCCATTTTTGAATATTTTATGGAATTTTATTGTGGGATTTTGATTATTTGCTTATTGTGCTACTTTTATGTAATATTGATGTATTTAAATAGGAAATTTTGAATGTTCTGGTATTTTATTGATTTTTAGAGATTTTTAAATTTATCATAGCACGATTGTATAGGCGTGCATTGTGTAAACATATACTTTTTTATTTGCTTTTATTAAGCTTTAAATGTAGTTGGATTTGAAATTAGTGCAAATTAGTATTCTGCGTATTTAGAAATTTTGTAAATTCTTGTAGTGTTATAAATTTGTATATTATTATTTTCTTTTTAAACTGTCTGTATGTACTACAGAGTGTGCGGAATTTTGATACTTTTGATAAAAGATTGCAACTGAATGTTTTTAACTGTATTTATGTGTTTTTAATACATTATATTTGGAACCCGACCACTTAATATAATTTCATTATGCCTAATGCAGATGATAAAATAGAAGATGAGGTTAATACAACTGAAGATGAAGAAAGGGACATTGTGCAAATCGTTAATAGTTTACATAGAGTTGTCGATAAAATCAAAGCTCAGCGTAAAATTGGATGTACTTTTTAACTGACAAATTGACTTATGGACTAAACATGATTTTGACTTGTGCTGGAGTTCTTGGAGATAGGAAAAACTCTCAAGTTACCGGGTGTGTTAGATGTGAAAATTCTAATGAAGTACATTGCTTTGAGAGAAGAGATTATGAAAATGAGAAGTGAAATGACCTCCGAATTTGAGAAACTGCACGGAGATGGATCTCCTACATATGCTAAGGTCACGGCTAAAGGATTGGATGAGATAGTAATTAAACCTGCGGTTCCAGATATTAACGCATATGATGAAATTTGCGATAAGTTTAAACCCGGAAGAGATTGGGATTAATATTACAAAGTCTTCATTTGGAGAAAGAGGGGAATTGAGATTGAAATTGGGAGATAGAGAGGAAGTTAAGAGGCTGGAAAGAGCAATTGCTGATGATGAAGGCCTAGAAAAGAATTTGATTATTAGGAGGAAACGCTTTATAAGGCCTCGTGTGATTGTATACGATGTTGATAATAGTTTTTACAAATGAGGAATTGGGAATTCTTTTAAAGAGAAATTGTTTGTGTTCCGGAGACTGCGTTAGACCTCTTTTCAATTTACAAACAAGAAATCGGAATCATAGTCATAGAGTATTCTTAGTGAGCGCTTCTTGCTAGAAAGATCAATTATTGTCAAGAGGTATTAACCGAGGTTGGAGAAATTATGACCTAAAACTGTTTCTTAGACCTAGAGAATGCACAAGGTGTTTTTCGTTTAGTCATTCCAAAAAGAATTGTCAAGCTGAAATTTGCTGTTCCAAATGTACGGGGGCTCACTTGAGTAAAGAATGCAGTAGTAAAGAATTTAATTGCAGTAATTGTACTTATTCTAATGAAAAATTTCAGACTAACTTTGATATGAAACATAATGCCATGGATAAAAATTGTCCATGTTACTTGAGTGAGTTAAATTTCCTGAAGGATCATCTAGATATTGATTGTGAGTTTTAGACTTTTTACTTTTTTAATTATTTGTGGTTGGGTTCCAAGTTTTTCTGTTTTTTTCTGTTTTATTGAATTGAATTTTATTCAATTTTATTGTAAATTTTATTGTAATTTTATTGAATTTTTATAATATATTTGTTCTTTGGAGATTAATCATGAAAGAGTCTGGTATGAAAATTTTGAGTATAAACTTAAATCATTGCGCACTCGCCCAAGCCCAGCTCCAGGTACTTAAAGAGGTTATTGGTTCCTCTCCTGAAATAATTTGTATGCAGGAGCCCTATGCGGTACAGAATGAATTGGCTTTTCAAATCCTGAATGGAGATCCGCATATAATAGTGGAGGAAGAACGGGAATTATAGTAACTAAACTAAATAATTCCAGTTCTTCCTCCATGTTGATTTCACACGAGACTATGAAACTGATATTATTACAGCTATTTCTATTTATTTGTCTTCGGGCAGACTGGGCATCATTACAGTTTACTTCTCTGCGGCAGAACACATAGAGGAATCTCTCTCTCAACTGGAATCTGTGATGAAAAATTATAATAAATTCATTGTTACCGGTGATTTTAACTCTAAACATCCAAGCTGGGGCGCAGGAGATGTTGATGCAAGAAGGCGATTGGTATTTGACTTTATCGTCTCTAATAATATAATTTTACTAAATGATTTGAGTTTTCCTGCAACTTTCAAATCTACCATCGGTGAGGGATAGGACTGATCTTGTTATGACCTCACCAGGTTTTGTCTATCAATTCTGGAGCTCTGCAAGTTCTGATGGATGAGAGTCTTAGTGATCATCGTTATTTGCAGTTGAATTATGATGAAAATATTCATTGTGCTCCTAAGATTGTTTTAACAAGAGATGTCCACCGGATTACAAGATATTGTTATAAAATTGCTCCGATAATGCAGAAATTTAAATTAGATTTATTGAAGTGTGAGGACTCTGATACAATTGAAAAAATTTTTGAGGATCTGTCTATCGATGTTAAAAAGAAGTTACAAACAAAACAAAAGGGAAGTAGGCAGATTTCGTGGTAGACTCCACAACTTACTTGTATGCGACGCCGGATACGTGCTTTGAGGAAAAGTTCGCAAATTTTGAATTTAGCGGACAATATACGTAATGAAAGGAAAATTGCATATAAAAAAGAATTGGCAACTTATAAACGTCTAATTCGGAAGACAAAATTTGAAACTAAGAAAAATTTTTTTCTTAATAATCTTTATTATTATGATGGTTTTTATCGAATTGCCTCTAAAAAAGTGAGACGTGCTGTTGCTCTGTATAATCCTCAGCCCGTTGACAATTTGATTGAACTCAATAGACAGAAGCTTTTGCAATCACTCAAATTGGGAGCACCTGGGGATATTTCATTAGATGAGGATAGACTTTCTGATTGTCCATTGGATGACGCTGTAATTACAGAAGGCAGAGATCAGAAGTGCAGTTGAACAAATGAGGCGTCGAAGCGCTCCGGGCCCGGACTGTTTTAATCCTATATTTGTTCAGATTTTTAATTTTTTGCATATCTGGATATTTTTATAATGCTTTTTAATTACTGTTTTAAATTTTTATGTGTTTCCAAGAATTGGAAAATCGGTGGAGTTGTTTTTAATTCCAAAGCAGAATGACAGATATAGACCAATTGTACTTTTGAGTGTTTTTGGAAAAGTGTATGAAAGAATCTTGGTTGAGAGATTGAAGTTTTACCTGAATAGTAGAATGATACTCAGTCGGCGACAGTATGGTTTCACAGCTGGCTGTTCTACAGATGATGCATTATATGATACTATTGACTTTATTAGAAGCTATAAGAGTTCGCATCGCGTAGTGCTGCTGTCCTTGGATGTTTTCGTCTGCATTCGATTCAGTGTGCTGGAACTCTATTTTACAAACCATGATTAACCTTAAATTGCCAAGGAATTTGATTCAATGTTATAGGAGTTATTTTAACAATCGCAAAATCTTGTTTAATGCTTTTAAGGATGAAACTGCAGAGATAGAACTAGAGATTTTCATTGGTTGTCCGCAGGGCTCCTGCAGTGCTCCCCTGCTCTGGAATATCATATTAAACAAATTTCTTATTTTGTAATTCCCCAGTGATGTTAACTTTATTGCATATGCAGATGATCTTGCTGTTTTGATGTATGGTGCATCATTGGAAAAACTCGAGAAATCATTTGAGAATGTTATGTTAAAACTGGAAAACTGGAGAATCGGCGAGGGTCTTGAATTCAACTTAGAAAAAACTTTTGCAATCATTTTCCCGCGGGCTGGGATCAAAGTGAGAGCTCCACGATTTAGATATCAAGGAAAAAGAATAAAGTTCGTTGATGTTATTAAATATTTGGGAGTCAAAATTGATTGTAAGTTGACCTTCGCAGATCATTTTAAAACAATTCATCGGCTCTCAGATGATATGTTAATGTTTTACAGGAGATCTTTTTCTAGTGAGACACTTTGTAACAAATCATGCATTCTTAAAGATATTTTGAATAATGTAATTATCCCTAGAGTTTTCTAAGGAATTGGTGCCTGGAGATCCAGAGCCGGGGATTTGGTCAGGTTGAGGAATAAACTCGATGCGATACAGAGGAGCTGGTGCTTAATGATTACAAGATGTTTCCGTACTGTCTCAACTGAAGTGCTCTGCGTTCTAGTCGGCACGCCGCCTCTTTCAATTTTATATAAATTATATTTTGAAAAATTTTTGTTCAGAACTGGTAGACTTGATTTTAAATTGTATAAAGATATTTTGATTACAAGGCATATGTTTGAAAGAATTAATAATATTTTGGTACATCCTTCTGATTTTTGTGTTTTGGAATTTGATTGTAAACTTCCAATAACTGGAGAATTGTATATTTATACTGACGGGTCCAGGCAAGATGATAAATTGGGTGCAGCATTTGTGATTTAGC